TTTTTCTCTCTCTCTATTTTTTATTTTTTTTTCTATTTTCTGTGTAGGTCTTTTTTTTTAGCCTTATAGCTAATGCCTTTTTTTTTTCGGAACTAGGTGCCATAAAATCCCTTAGGACCCTAAGAGCCTTGAGGCCTTTAAGAGCGTTGTCCCGATTTGAGGGGATGAGGGTAAGATGCTCATCAGCACCTGATCCTTCTGCATGCCCGGGCAGCATTTTTTCTTTTTTTGGGGGAAAAAAAAAAAAAAAAAAAAAAAAAAAAGGTGTTCTGACCTTTAAAAAAAAGCATTCCGGGGTTGCTCCATCTTTTTTCCTGGAAAATCGGGATTTTCCAGCGCCTGGATAAAAAAAAAAAAAAAAAAAAAAAAAGCATGCTAGAACCGATCGAAACAATTAAAAAAATAAAAGAAAACGACGGAAAATCAATTCCAAAAGAGAATCACGATGCGGCTGCTGACTCGGTCACCCCTCCGCGGACGTCCCCCCTCGCCCTGCTGCACCTCCCCTCCAACGAAGGGAGCTGCCTCATTACGTTAATTAATTACATTAATTACTGGCCCAAAGCGCTCATTTTGTAGCCGATGTCGACACTTGGCTGCTCTCATTTGGCCTGGCTTTGACCTCGGGGCTTCTCAGCTGGAACTTGTTTTTTATTTTTGGGTTTTTTGGTTTTTGGTTTTTGTTTTTTTTTTTTTTTTTTTTTTTTTTTTTTTTTTTTTTTTGGTTGGTTTTTGAAATCTAGGGAGAATCACCAGGTGCAAAAGAAGCAGAATTGGAACCACCTCAGGCTCTGCAGGTCTTGGCTGCTCTTGGTGGGGGTTGGCTCGAAAAAAAACCAAAAAAAACCCAAAAAAACCCCACTTTTATTTTTATTTTTTTGGGGTGGGGAAAAAGCTGCTGCCTCTGGTGGGTCACTGCAGGAAGGGACGGGGTGGAGCTGAGCTCTTTGAAAATTTTGGTTTCATTTCCTCTCGTTGCACCTTGTTGTTCTCAGTCCAGTCTGCTGGTGACTGGCAGCCTTGTCCAGCAGTGGAACTTTGCTTTTCTGTCCCCTTTTTTGCCTTTTTTTCCACCTTTTTTTGGCCCCCGTCGTGTCGCTCTGGAAGCAGAACGAAGCACAAGCAAAGCATTGAACTGAAGCTCGAATTGGCAAAACTCCCTCGGCGTTTCAATTATTGCAGCCGGGCAATAATTGGACATTTTGGTGCTTTTTTATTCCCTCGTTTGGGGTTGAAAGAGTCTCCTAAGAACACACCCAAAAAAAAAAATATAATTGTGCAGTAAAAAAATGAAATAAAGGGTGTTTCGCATCAGTGGATTGCTTAGAACAAAATGTGGGGTTTGGTGTTAAATCCCAGTTAGCTCATAAGCAGAGAGAAAATCGGATGTTTTAAATAATAAAATAAGGAAGGGAATGGCAGAATCAGTTTTACCTCAGGGTTTGAGTGGAGGAATTCCACCTGGATCCTTCTGGAGCAATTGAAAATTGAAAATTTCCATTCGAGTGGAAAAAATTGAAAATTGAAAGTTTCCATTTGAACGGAAAAAATTGAAAATTTCCATTCGAGTGGAAAAAACTGAAAATTGAGAATTTCCATTTGAACGGAAAAAATTGAAAATTGAAAGTTTCCATTTGAACGGAAAAAATTGAAAATTTCCATTCGAGTGGAAAAAACTGAAAATTGAAAATTTCCATTCGAGTGGAAAAAATTGAAAATTGAGAATTTCCATTCGAACGGAAAAAATTGAAAATAGAAAATTTCCATTTGAATGGAAAAAATTGAAAATTGAAAGTTTCCATTCGAATGGAAAAAATTGAAAATTGAAAATTTCCATTCGAGTGGAAAAAAATTCCATTCAGGCAAAGGTGGAGCTTTCGCTGGGCTGGGTTTGGGGCCCGGCCAGAAATTTGATCACAAAGATCAGGCCTAGCACCAAACCTGGAGAAATTAAAAACGAATTTTAAACCACATTAGGGAGAAGATTTCTGATGTACAATCAGGAAATTCTCGTGCTCGAAGTGGGAAAATGGATCGTTACAACTGTTTTTATTGGGCACAAAATGAGTGTGCAGAAGTTTGGTGAGTTGAAGGGAGAGAGGGCCAATTTTGTTTTTTACTTTGCAATCTGTAGAATTCTAAAAGTGACGGCGGATTGGAGGATGAAATTGTTCCTTTTTCCAACGGCGCTGGTCAAACCAGTTTGCCGATTCTCTCTTTCCACAGAGAAAAAAACAAGAATTATTTACATGAACAGTGGGAGAGAAGTCTGGTAGAAATACGTAAAAATTATCAGAAGGCTAAAAAAGATTCACGAGAACTTTAAAACTTTCAAAAGAACCATCAAAGAAAACACTTTCAAAAATCAGGGCAACATCACAAGCGCAGCCCTGCCCGCTGCCTAGACCAAATTCTGATTTTTTTCCAATTTTTTTTGGGGACAAGTGTCAGTGCCCCACCCAAGCAGAGGATTCCAGAATTGGAAATTCCTTTTTGAAGGAGACGGAGCGTGGAGTTCTTTGCTTTGCTCTCCTCGGTGGCGATCTGCGTTTCCAGGAGTTTGCTGCGCTCGGCCGCGCCGCGGGGACACGCGCATGACTTCTTGTCCGCCCGCACACGGAAGCCACCTTCCTCCTGGCGCTCCTGCGGCAAAGTTCTGCACGTTCAGAGGACCAAAAATGACCTTAGTTCAGGAGGATGGTGTCCCTTTTTTATTTTTGCTGGAATCAATCAGGTTGTAGGAGGATGGGACCCAAAAAGTGCTGCTGGTGCAGCAGCTGAGCATCATTTTGGGGTGAAGGGACACTGAGAGCAGAGAGATTTTTGGGGATCTCACCTGTTCCTTCCTGGGCCTGGGATGAACTTCTGGCATCCTTCAGCAGCTGGAACAGAAGACAGAGTGAGGAGCTAAAATTGGGAAAGGAGGAGCTCCATGACCAAACCCTCTGACCAAACCCTCTGTGACCAAACCCTGTGACCCAACCTTTGTGACCAAACCCTTTGTGACCAAACCCTCTGACCAAACCTTTGTGACCAAACCTTCTGTGACCAAACCCTTTGTGACCAAACCTTTGTGACCAAACC